GGCTGAATCCAGCACACCAGGGAAGGTGGTGGGGTCCCCATCCCTGGGGATATTTAAAAGACGTGTGGGTGAGGCATTTGGGCACACAGTTCAGTGATGGACTAGCAGTTTTAGGCTAACGGTTGGACTTGATGATGTTAACATCTCTTCCAACCTAAAAGAGGCTATGATTTTTAAGTTCTACAGTGGCCGTTTTTCAGGCCTTCTCCTCTGCTGTCAGCATCCATTTGCCCAGGGTGCTGGATCTGTGGTTTGGGCAAATTCTGCCTCCATTGACAGAGTTGGACCTTGCTGATTAGGGTGGGCCCTGTTGGCTGCTGAAGACAACACTGAACGTAACTCACTGCAGGAGAATCAGACCACAGATACCCATTTAGTTTAGCTGCAGCATGTTGCGGTACAAACTCCTACTTAGACAAATGTCCAAGAACTGACTGAAGAGCTCACTGTCAGATGAATAAGGCTACAAAAATTCACTCTGCTCATACAGTTTCACACAAGACCTTCCTGTAGCTGTAGGGCATAGGCCTGCTGTGCCAGTTTAGGTAGGTTTTGATTAAAACACTGCTCTGATTTACAGGCAACAGCTTGATGTGACAGTAAGTGCTTCATAAAGCCATGCCTGTCATCACCTTCTGCTGACACCATTTCCACTGATTGCAGATCCTTCTAACAAATTACTCCTTCTGGTTTCCTTAGGGTGAAGAAACTGAAGGAAACATTTGCTTTTATACAAGTATTGGACAAAAACATGAGTAACCTTCGCACCTGGTTGGCCTGGATTGAGTCTGAGCTTTCCAAGCCTGTTGTTTATGATATCTGTGATGACCAAGAAATCCAGAAGAGACTGGCAGAACAACAGGTAGGAAATAATATCAGCCAGAGTAAATGAGCTAAAATGCTGCTGATTACAATTGGTCCTGGTTTAAAATCACCTGTTTCTTTTCTTTAGCAAGGCCTTCTGTGTTTGCTTTTCATGTTCCTGCCAAGATGTATTGCATCGAAACTTTTTATTTGCTCACTGCAATTTCAGTGTTGTGTTGACTTACCCCACTCCTCCCTTCCCCCCTCCACCCAAGGAAAACATGCAAAAGACAAACAAAAGCATTTTTACATTTGATGGTCTGCTCAATTAAGTACAACAGACTTCATTAAGGGCATGGACAGAATCTGTGAGGATGGCTTAGGTTGACAAGGTGTGAGTACCAGGTCTCCTGCAAACTGTCTCTGGCAGCTTTAAGTGCTCTATTGTCCTCACTGGCTCAGTTCTCTTCCCCTCCTTGCAGACAGCAGAGCAAGCTTGACACGGAAGGTTGTTTGAGCTTTGGAGGGTGGGCTTATGCAAACACACCTTTGACTGAGGCCTGACCCAGTAGGCAGGCTCCTGAGGGTTGGGTATGTTGGTGAGTGAACCAACCTAGCACCGTTGGGTGTTGGTTGAGTGTGTGTAGGCATTTTTCTGAGACAGTGATTTACCAGGGGTATCTCAAGGATCTATGCTTGTTTAAAGTGCTGGAGATGGCAAGGATTTGGCACAGCTGAACATGCCAGCTATCCCGGCCACGTGGAAGTGTGAGATGAGTTGGGTAGTCCTGGAGTAAATTTTTCTCTCCAGCAGCCAGGGAAGGAAAAGGAACTTCTCCAAAGCACAGGCTTGCTGATGAGGTCAGCCTTTGCTCAGGTCTGTGCTAAGTCTGCCCAGGTTCAAAGTGCCTCCCTGGGAAGGCTGAGAATGACCACAGCTGTCATCAGGCCTTTGTGTTGAACAAGTGTATTTGCCCTGAAACTGAGGATCAAGAATAAAGCTGTCAAGCATGGAAGCTTTATGGCTTCTGCCTTGAAGAACACCTATGGGTGTTCTTCTCTTCCTTCCCATCTTCTCTCTGGCTGCTGTTTTCATGTCTAAGGTAAGATCCCTGAGTGACACAGACCTGAGGGCTGTTTTTGCTATGGTTGATATGACTCTCCATCCGCTCTTGTCCCAGACATCGTGGGATAGACCAGCTCCTCTGTGTCAGGAGTGGAGGGTGGCTCCCACCGACTCCACTGTAGGAGCTGGTCAAACACTACAAGCCTTGGCTCAGTGCCTCTGATGGTTTCATATGCATTGGGAATGGTTTCATAAACTACAAGGAAATATTTTTCTCCCCATCCAAACCTTTTGCGTTCTCAAAGGCTGTGATAAATTACGAGGCAGAGAACATGTGGCATGAAGGAATTGTGTCCAAACTCATTTATTTTTGTTATGAACATACAAGCTTTAGGTCACTGTAAGAGCCATTATTTGCTGCTCAGAGCTACTTACTGCTTTGTTGTTTGGACTCTGTTTCAAACACAGACCTCTGGGCACCTCTAGACTCCTTCTACTGTAACCTTTCAGCAGGCTGAATGTGAGAAGACTGTGCTGACTGAAAAGACCACAGTAAAAAAAAAAAATCCTCTTTCATTCTTCATTAAAGAAACCTTTATCTGAATGCAACAAGTAAAAAGACCTTTCCTGGGTTTAGCCAAACAATTATTTCATCAAGAGCAGAGTGATGGTGAAAAATATACCCTAAAGGCTGCTTTTATTTGACATCCCTGACTGGAAAAGTTTTACCTGTTCAGTCTTGAATAATGACATTGAAAAGCATTGTGCGTCTACAGAGATGTTTTATGGGACATTTGTTCAATTAAAGGATGAAGAATAAAATTAATAATATTGAGGTTTCAAAGCTGTGTCACTAATGCAGGAGTCTGACAGCGTGTAGTCTGTTTAAGCTCGGGCAATGCTGTGCAGAGTTGAAGGAAAAGTACCTTTCTGTGCTCAATGTATGTTCCTGGCCCCGTTACTTAGTTTGATATGTTTGTGTCAACATAATACCGTCAGGTCATTTGGAATTAACAGCTTGGGAAACAGCAAGGATTCTGCTTAGGGTTATTCTGTGAACCCAGGCATGACCAAAAGTAATGAGGTTGTGTCAGCAACCTAGTGCAAGTGCAAGTAGAGTGGTTTGTAAATTCACAGCTGTGAATCCTTAATAAGCTGTCAAAAATTATGTTGGGTCTGCCTCCGGCAGTCTCTCCTCTGCGTAAACATTTTGGCTTCTATGCTTCTTAAAGATGTACATTACCACACATCCTATTAGCCAAATTTGGAATGTTTATGGCTCAGCCCTTTCAGGTACCCATGTAACACCACCGATGACTGCCACTGAGTGATACTCAAATCCTTGCAGCTTGTTGACTTCTGGGAAGATCTTCAACTCCTTTTGTATTTACTGCAAGCAATGCCTGTTTTGGGGTTGTTTGCTTTATTTTGTTTTGATTTCCTAACTCTAGAGCAGAACCAATTCTGCTTCATCTGTTCACTGAAATCAGCAATATTTAGATAAGGCTTTCTGTTGTTCAATTACATTGACTTTAGGAGTAGTTATAGGTACAGAGTGTGAGGCCAGACTGTGATGGAGATGCAGGCCCTGGAGAAGAAACCCGTAGTGTAGATTAGAGAAAGCGTCTTTGTCGGACCCTTTAAAACAGGCTGTCGTAACAGGAGTTTTACAAGAGGGAGTAAGAAGAGCAGTGTAACACCAGCTACTTGTGTGCTGTGGTTCGTGGTATCAGCCTGAGATCACGTAGTCAGTAAAGTACACGGACTGTACTGTGAGTTCTCTGTCAAGTCTTAACAGTGTAGTACGCTGATATGAGACCCTCTCATCTTGCACTGTCAAAATTAGTATGTGTTTACAGTATGTGTAAATTTGGATTGTGAATGCACATGAAAATTGTCCAGACTGTTAATACGAAGATAGGCCTTTCGCTGAGAATCCAAAGTTGGACAATCCCTTTGTGCATGGCTGTTCTGTCCTGACCCTGTCATCTGCACAGCTCATCCTGCAGGTCTGTTTTCTAAAGCCTAAATAAGCTTTTCCTGACACACAAATTGCTCTTTGCCCATCCTCTGCAGCATTTTGAAAGGCTATGTCTGAAGTCCAGCTGTGCATTTTTCCTTCTACTCAAGCTGTTCTTTTGCCAATGGCAGGATCTGCAACGAGACATAGAGCAACATACTGCAGGGGTGGAATCCGTGTTTAATATCTGTGAAGTCCTGCTGCACGATTCAGATGCGTGTGCTAATGAGACAGAGTGTGACTCCATCCAGCAGACTTCCAGGAGTTTGGACAGGCGTTGGAGAAACATTTGCGCCATGTCTATGGAAAGACGAATGAAGTAAGTCTCTTTCTTTCCCCTCCTAGCGAAGCCTGTGGCAGCATTTTGAAGAAACGGTGTAGCTTTTGCCACAATCTGAATTTCAAAAAAGAAAAAAAAATCCCAAATTAAAGTTAGCTTGTGGTAAAACATTTCCATTTTTGCATTTCCCTCTCAGAATTGAGGAAACCTGGCGCCTGTGGCAGAGGTTTTTGGACGACTATTCTCGCTTTGAAGATTGGCTGAATTCATCTGAAAGGATAGCAGCTAAACCTAATACTTCAGAGGTGTTGTACACCCATGCAAAGGAGGAGCTGAAGAAATTTGAGGTGAGTTTTTCAGCTTCAGTTTTTCGTGCTCAGCAGCAGGCTGGATGGTCAGACTGCTAAATGCTTACTGTCTGTGTGAAATGCCTGCATCGCTGAAAAACACCAGTTTGGCAGTGGTGGTATAGAGAACATAGGTAAGTTGGCCACTGTGTGGCTCCTAGGTATCTGGCTGATCTGTTTGTCTCCAGATTTTATTTTTTTTAATGTGGAGAATCCAGTGCTCTGAACTAACAAGATCCTGCTTATAAGTTAAAGCTTTGTTTTTTGTAGGCAGAAATCCTTTCTGGGGTTTGGGTTTTTTCCTTCCTTTTGCTAATGAGCTAAGATTGAGCAGATGATTTAAACTATGGGTCCTTCTCTGGATTTAATTTTGCAATTAGAAGGTCTGTTTTTATGGGGAGGGCATCATCATCTCTTGATGGATAGAATCATCCAGCTCCTCTCCCTTCCTGGCAAGGGAACTGATTCCTTCTTTTGGTTTGCAGGCATTCCAACGGCACATTCATGAGCGACTCACTCAGTTGGAGCTGATCAATAAGCAGTACAGGCGCCTTGCCCGTGAGAACCGTACGGACTCAGCCAGCAAGCTGAAGCAGATGGTACACGAAGGCAACCAGCGCTGGGATAATCTCCAGAAACGAGTCGCTGCCATTTTGAGGAGACTCAAGGTAATTGCACGGTGGGGTGAGAGAGCGAGGAGCACTTGCAAATTTCTGTAGGAATTACCCAAGGGCAAAACACATACTGAAGCAACTGTCCTGTGTTGTTTGTGTTTTGAGTTACCAGTGTAGGAGAGCAGCTCTGGAAAGGTCACCAAGTGTGTGGCGTAAACATGTCCTTGGCAGATGGGTTCTTGGTAGTTGAAGGAGCATAAGGGAAGAATGGGTGTAAGGTTTTGGAAGGCGTGTTGTAGGCCTTACTTGCTCCTGTCATGCTCTCCTCCTACCAACCCTGTCATGGGTGCATGTGTTCACGCACTTGAACCTTTCTGTAAGTAAGAGGCAGAGGGATAAAAGGACCCCAGTGCAGACGAGGTTTGGAGTTTACAGCCCAGCTCCACTTTCTGCCAAGCTATGATTCACCTACAGGCCTTTAAATGCGGCAGTGTGGTGGAGGGGCGTGCTGTTGTCACCAGCTCCTGCTGTGCTCTCTGCCTGACAGAGGAAGGTTGTGGAAGAGTGAATGTGTGATACTTCTTTGAAGTGTCCTGCGTGTTGAGTTAAACTCGTCTCTGGACAGATGCCCTGGGGAAAACTCGTCACTGCCTGATTTTAAATACAGCTGTGCTGCAAGCGATTGGCAGGGAAAACTTGGTTCCTGGAAGTCGGTGGATGAGACTGGGAGAGCGCCGATGGGGTTTGATCTGTGCAGTTAGGAGGTGTTGTGTTTGGGATGTTCTATCATCCCCTCCCTGAACAGTAAATCTACCCAGGAAAACTGGGGCACTGCAAGCTGAGTGTCTGTTAGCAGCTTCTGTGGGAGGTGGCAGCAGGAAGAGCCCTTCCTGGCTTCTACACCAAATGAGGCATCAATTACACTGCTGTGGTCATCCGTGATCCAGCTTCTCCAGTGTTTTACTGATGTTTAATGTCATGGTTTTAATTACTTAGTAAATAAAGTTGTTTTCTTTTTCTGTCTTCTATATTTAGAACAAATTAGATGTTAAACCTGAATTCAAATAAGTGTTATGCTGATATAATGATGTGGGAGAAGGTATACAGTGTGGAAGCAAGAATATAACTTTGTAGAAGCCTCTTGCACTGCTAAAGTTTTATGCCCTCTCTCACATGAACCGTGTACTAACATAGGACACTGTTCCAGCATGACTATAGGAAGGAGACAGTTTTTGTACATGGCATGCTGCCATTTGTGTCCTGAAGGCCTTTAAGGTGAAGAGCAATTTTGAAACAAAACGCTGTTTTCAGAGGGCTCCTTTGACCATCTTTTCTTTAGTAGCTGAAGTCTTATAACGCTGGCTCCCTTCTTCCTGTTCAGCACTTCACCAGTCGGAGAGATGAGTTTGAGGGGACCAGGGAAAGCATCCTTGTTTGGCTTACAGAGATGGACCTCCAGCTGACAAACGTGGAGCACTTCTCAAAAAGTGACTTTGATGACAAAATGCGCCAGTTACATGTACGTATCCTTACAAAGCAGTTATGTAATAAAGCCAGATGGTCCTCTTGGACTGCCCTCTCTTGACAGAATCATCTTTTCTGAGACTTCACAGTAGCCAACAGATCTCTGTATGGCTGTATTTGTTTTAAGATTTATCCAGTTTAATCAAGATCAAACTGTACAGTATTTAATTTCAGATTCAGTGTCCAAGATCGGGTCTATCCTTACACTTTCTTCTAAATGTGTCCGAGACAGTGATATCTGGGCTGGAAAGGAGCACGTGCAGGTTAACAGTAAAAGCTACATTCCCAAATTCAGGTGTTCTTTTCTGATATGAATTTTGAATTGGCATTAAGGTAGGATCTCTCCTCTGAGTACACTGATTGTAGCTGGGACTTTCACACAGAAATGACAGCAGGCATGTGCAATGATTCTCAAGAACATGCTAGTTCTTTGTTACCTGCTCATGTGCTTGTTTCTCCTTTCCACCTGCACTGTTAATTGTTTTGGGATGTAGATTTACTGTTGTGCAGGCTGGAGGCCCAACCAGCCAAACATCTTTGCTACTGGGAAAAAGGGGGTGTGTACCCAGCAGAAAAACAAGCTGATTAGCTGGACTCTCCTATCATGATACCCTGCAGGCTCAGGACACTGCAGTGATACTGGTGTACACATGGGTGGAAAATGCCACTTCACTTGGAACTGTAATCCTGCTAATAAAACTTCACTGGGTGACTAAAAAGATGTTTGCCAAATGAAATTAGACAACAGTGTACATTGTTGCTTTTCTTTTTAATTCCAACCTTAAACTAGAAAGGGGACGTTGCAGATGTAATTCTTTTTCTTGTGTGTTCCAAATAGGGTTTCCAGCAAGAAATTACACTAAACACAAATAAGATTGATGAGCTAATTGTTTTTGGCAAGCAACTGATTCAGAAGAGTGAGCCTTTGGATGCTACCCTGATAGAAGGCGAATTAGAAGAACTTCACAGATACTGTCAGGAAGTGTTTGGACGTGTTGCCCGGTTCCATCGAAGACTGACTTCAAGGCATCTTGTAAGAAGCAACAGTTGTTTTGATGCTTTGGCAAGATTTTGCTGTTTGAACTGCAGTGCTCATGGCTTATCCCTGGCAGTTTGACTGGGTGGTTTGAGCTCAAATGGGCCAGAAACTCCCCAGTAATTGTGCCTGTTTTGCTAAAGCTTTGTCGCCAGTCCTGTCTCCTCACACCTCTCATGTTGGGTCTCCATCTGCAGCATCTGAATAGTAGCATGAAAGAATTCACAGGGTTAATATTTAGATAGTAGTGGTTTGAGGGCTTCAAAAGCTTTTTTGGTGTGTTTAAGAACACATTGTTTAATTTCAACAATGTGCTTAGAATATCTCTTTATGGATTCATTTGCGAGGCTCCATCCGTCTACCTTCTTGTGGGAACCCTGAATGTGGGACAGCATGCTCTTTACTTTTCACTGAGAACATTTAGCTGATTCTCGGTTTGCTTTGGCCCAAAAATTAAAAACATCTATTAAAAAGCCAGGCAGAGGGAGTAACATGACCCTCTACAAGTAGCTGTTCACCCTCACCTGAGCATCATTTCACTGCTGGCCTATGCAGTTCATGTGGAACAGGGTACCCCTCACTGCAGGCTGGAAAGAGATGTTATGGTGGTGGTTGAGTGTCTTAAAATAGGGCAGGTGGTTGCTGATGTGAGGATTGTTTGGGCAAAAGGAAGGAGGCAGAAGTCATGCTTCCCTTTAATTTTAGGCATGTGATCTTTGATTTCTGCAGCTGACCGCAAAACAGTCCCTGCTAGAACTGTGTGGCTCAACCATTAGCTCTTTAAGCAGTATAGAGATATTGTAAATCTTGGTAATATGTAAGAATTTTTATTTATTTTTAGGGATCGGATGATGAAAATGATACCTCTGAAAATGAGACAAGTACAGAAGATTCCAGAGAAATCCAGAATGATCCCTGGCATAAGGTGGCCAACAGTGAGGGGTCGTCTTTGCAACAGTCCTTTTGCCAACTTATGCCCCCTACTGTAGGTTATGAAAGATCAGGCTGTGAAACCCCTGTCAGTGTTGACTCCATCCCACTCGAGTGGGATCACACAGGTGATGTGGGAGGTTCTTCCTCTCACGAACAAGAAGAAGCAACATACGTCAGTGCTCTGTCAGGTGAGCAGCAGTTGCCAGCTCTTTGTTTTGACACGGACAAGGATGTCCCTCTGTGGGAAGGGAGGGGGATTGAGGTCTTGCTCTCTCGTTGTTGGCTGGTTTTCTAGTACTATGAATAGATGTGAGCAGTCTCATCTCTTGGATGTCTTGATGAAGGGAATGGTATTGTCTAAATCAAGCTTATATTTTCAGAAACATAAGGTCTTTAGAAACCTTGCTTTTTAAGAATGTGTGATGAAAATAGTACCAACAACTTATTTTGTTCTTTGTCTTTGCTGTCCCTCGTTGTTTTTAATAGTTGGAAAATATTGAGTAGTGAGGAAAATGACATTATACTTTTTTCAGATGTAGAAATCACTGAAAATCCTGAGGCATATCTTAAAATGACCACAAAAACTTTGAAAGCATCTTCTGGTAGGCACCTGCTAATGCATGTGTCTGAACATGGCAATCTCCCTGTGCTGCACGCTATATTCCTCAACCTCTCTCATATGTAATGTCTGACTTCCTGCCTTGTGTGGGCACCATGTCTCATCCTGTCATAGTGTTCTTACGCTGCAGTATTCACATGTACATTACAAAGCAGTCAAGAACACACCGTTCAGATTTTTGCCTGGTGAATGCCAAGGTGGTTAATGTGCATTTCACTGTATTGATCCAAAGTCTTTTGGTACTGTCTGGATGGTTTGCTCTGGGTAGTACCATTTTTTTTGGTTGTTTCTAATTTTGATTGCATAATTACTGAAGGAAATAATAGTTCCAACTCTGCAAGTCATTTTTGGATTGTGCATGACAGAACCATTTGTGTCCTGCCTGTTAAATCCAGAACAAACATTCTCCAAATCAGGACATGTCTGTACTTGTCCCTACTAAAATGCATTGCAGATGTGTGATCGTCTTGTTGAGATGCAAACTTTCCCAAACCACAGTGCAGCCTTTTTCTTCTATTTTTTGAACACCCATACCTGTATTCAAGCATTTTCCACAAGAAACAGAATGTCCCATAACTGCATGGCTCTCATCTCATTACCTTTGAAACACTGTTGATGTTTTGCAAATGTGCATGCTTTGCAAGGAAAGCTGCAAAACTGTCATTTGTATGCCATAACTCGATGCCATTTTATTCAGAGCGCTTTCTAACGTAGTACAAAGCCACAGCTTCCTTGTGGAGGTGGGACTTCGCACTCATGGCATATGGTTTTGGCTTTATTTGTTTCAGGGGAGTCTATTTCAGCAGGTCATCCTTGGCATTCTCCAGATAGCCCAGTCTGCAGGAAACACCAATACGACCAGGCGGAGATGGTTGGAACTGTGTTGGCTGGTCCAGAGACAAGTATTCCCTATATACCAGACTATGTGAGTAGGAGGCTCTGTGGGCATTGAAGCTGTACTGCACAGTCTTGTTTGCTGTTCCTGTGTAATTCCATCCTCTTCCCTCCTCCAGCATCAAGTGAAAGTTTAGCTGGGGAGGGGGTAGGGGGGGAGTGTTCACTTTATGCAAACCCAGACGTTATTCTGGTGGCTCAGGTAACCAATGAAATTATCCACGCGCTAGAAAAGCTTCTTTGAAGCGATTCAGAACAATCATGTTAGGCTCCTGATCAGTCAGTGTCTGGAGGAACTTACTTCCTCTGCTGTCATAGGACAAGTCTAGGGGAATTTAACTCCCTCCTCCCCCAGCCCCCAAGGAGAGAGTGTGAATACCATCCCTTGATACTTACTGATATACCTCCTTAAGTAGGCCAGTTTGAAGGGTCCTTTCCTGGCATGCAACCCACCCTTTAGTCTGCATCTGGGCACTAAAAAAGTGCCAAAATGGCTACTGCTGGTTGGTATCTCAGTCTTGGTGGACGATTGCCAGCCGTGGCTTCACCAGCAGCTGCCAGGCTCAGTGGATCTGGACCAGTTATCAGCACTTTTCCAGACACAAGATGATACTGGTATCTGGCTGCTTTTGCCATCATTTATCCAGCTGAGAGCCTTAGATTCAATATTGTCAGGACCCAGAATCCAACAAAGAGCATCAGCAAATGTTCGTTGTCTGGTACGGGTAGTACAAAGCAATTAATTTGCCACATCCAGTCTTATAATAATTAGCATCACTATTATTGTGTGTGTGTTTACTGAGAAGGAACAGAGAGCCAGTATGAACTGTTAGCAAAGATGGGGAAGGCCAGTGCTCTATCTGCCATGCAAGAGCTCAGCAGCAGCCCAGCCACCCTGAAGTAACACAAATGAAGTTTGATGGTTTGTTAACCTGCAGGGCTCACTCACCAAAATGTCATTCCAGGTGAATCAGCTCAGCTCTGCCAGCAGCTGCAGCATCAACAAGGAGAGTATTATGTCTGCTGACACGAGTGGTGAAGAACCCCAAGATGACCAAGAGCTGGTGAATATAGGAGCTGTGGAGAACAAGCCAGGTACAGTGTTAGGAGTGGCTTTGTTACTGGGGTGTTGGTCCTTTGACGCTGGAGGAGACCAGGCAGAGGTGGCGGGAAGGCAGCACGTTTACCTTGAGAACCAAACAGGAGTAGATCGCTATCCTCTAAATTAATGTATTCTGCTGAGGTTTGTGGAGCTGCCTTCTCATCTGGTACTGTCCAACCCAGGTTTGCTGTTCCACACTTTCCTGCCAGATTTGAGATTTTTATCACTCATGGTATACTTCTGTCTCTTTGCTGGTTGGAAGGAATGGGAACAATTTCACTTGTCTGTGTCACTTCAAAGTCTTTTAATCAGATTTCAAACGAAAGTAGGGTGTTTCTGTCTGAACAAAGATTGCTGTAGTCCCCTTTTGTCAATTATTGGTACTCCATGTAAGAAGATGCTACAGCCACCATTTACAGAAAAGATTTGTGAAAGCTGTTCATGTACTCTGTTTTTCACTGTATTCACTGTGGTCCTTTCTTCCAAATAGGCCAACAAACTGGTTCTCTTAACCTTTTAGGACCTCATTCCTGGTTTCAGGTGCTTGAGATTGTAATGAGAACACATCTGTACTGCAGTCACAAGAGCAAACCAAGTGATAAATAGAAGACTGCAGCTATATTCACCAGCTTTCTTAGTGTATGTCTCTGCCTCACAAACGGACCAGGGTTGAGTCCCACACACGGGCTCAATAGGAAAACCTCTGGAAAGCAGAGGCATCTCCATCTCCTTTAGAGCCAAATTGATGAAACATAAACCCGAGTCCTAACTGCTGGATCATACTTTGTCCCATGATGAATTTTGGTGTCTGCCAGGTCACAGCTGGGCTCACTGAATTCTGTTTCCTTGGATTTGCTCCATTCTTCCAGGTGAATTAAAACATCTTCAGTTTATGTGATTAAAGTCCTGTGGAGGATTACTATGGGAATAACTTGACCAGTACCATGAAATCTACAGATTGTAGAATCTCAAGAAATAGGGCCTTGAGTAGATTGGAGAATAATCTACCCATAAAACACCCGTAAACCAACATCTGTTTTACGCACTCTTCCCCTTACTGAAGATTTAAATGTTTGTTGTTCTATCATTTGTAGGCATTATTGATAGGTGGGAGCTCATCCAAGTTGAAGACCATAGAAATAAACTTAGGATGAAACAGAAATTGCAGCAGTGGCAGCAGCTGAACTCAGATGTCAGCAACATGTCTGCTTGGCTTGATAAAACTCTGGAAGAGCTGGAAGAGCTGAACAAAGTGATAACTCCAAACTGCATCCAGGCGTTGGAACAGAAGGCCAAGAAACTGAAAGTAAGTTGTGGCATACCGAGAAGTGGGGTTTCAAGATGCTCCTCCTCTTTGTCATTATCCTTTTTGTTTCCTTGCAGAAACACTTTCTCTGTCAAACTGTGCTGCCACAACACAGACAAAATATTCAGCCCCAAACTTCTCTTTACTTTTATTTTTGTTTTAGAAAACAAAAATAGAAAAGGCTCAAGTATGAAGTCTTTGACTCCCCAGTTGCCTAGGCTCAGGCCTTGTCTTGGAGTTGGGTATTCTGAGCAGTGATACCGGCGTTTTTTCCTTGTTCTGTGCCATCCTCCTCTGTGCAAACCAGAAAGGGATTGAAAATTAGCCAGGTCTACAGGCTACGAAGTCTAGGCTGATGAGGTTTTTTTAATGTAATTAATGGAGGGTGAGGGGGCAGTTTGTAGCTCTGACAGGGAGAATGAGAAAGATCTGCTCGAAAGCTGGGGTTTTTAGCAAGACGGTGTTTGCAAAAAAATCCTAGCTCTGTGTAGCACCTCTGTGCAGTAGTTGAAGGGCACCTCATTTCCAAACGTGCAGTTGGATTTTGTCACTCAGCAAATGCAGATGTCTCATGGGACAGAATATATTAGTTACAAAAGAGAAACACAACAACTTCAGTCTCTGCTAATCTTCAGCCAAGTAATAGAGCAGTTAGAGAGACGGTAACGTGGCTGTTTGTCAGCATGCGTGTCATGTCAGGAGGCCTGCTATGACTCTCAGCTTCCATAAATTAGACCTAAGTCAGGTCAGCTAGTTGAACCAGCAGGTTAGCAGGGTACGTGGAAGTGCTAGGTCCCTAGGACTTGGGTAACAAAATGCCTGAGGTTGAACTCAGCGCAGGTGTTCCTAACGCTTGTGGGAGTGCAGAATCCCCGCATGCTCACCCTTCTGCCAGCAGCCTCGTGTGGAGTCACCCAAATCCTGAGGCTACTGGTGAGTCTGCCATCACACTCGGGATGATGCTCACAAAGACACTCTGCAGGACAGATGGATTTCTTAGGCCTGTTGAGAGTATCCTTAAGCCTACACATCCTTGAGTAGTCTTTAGGCCAGGGAGAACGTCTCTGCACTCCAGTCCAGTGTTTAAATAAGAACGACTCTGATTGGCAGATGCATTCTGGCTTAGGTACCAAGCGCTAGGAACGGC